TTGCGGCAGCAAAGCAAAACAGGCTTCGTGCAGGTGCTCGGGAAGGACGTCCCAGCCAAGCGCCAGCGGAGCATGAGGCCGTCGGCACGGGGTGTTTCGGGATGCAAAGCAAAGAGATGAAAGCTGGACCAGCTCAGTGGGACCCCCAAGGCTTTAAGACAGAGCAGGGGTATGGCAGGAGGGAGGAAAAAAAACCACCACTAAAGGGTGGGGTTTTTTAGCTGTCATGGACTATAAAACCCCCTCCCAGCCCCCAGATCTGGACGTCCACCCTGGGAACATCTGGGCACGTGGATCGATCCCAGCTCTCATCTCAGCCGAGAGCGTGACCGGCTCATCCCGGGTGCTTGGGAAGAGGAAGGTGGCCGTGACTCAAAGGAGCCATAGGAGAGGAAACCCTCGTGACTGGGTTTTTTTCCCCCCCGCGTGACAACGCACCATGGGAGCGGCGATGACCAGCATCACGCAGCACGTGGTGGCCCTGCCGCCAGTGTAGTCGGAGATGAGGCCGGCGAAGATCCCCCCTGCAAGAAGGAGTCGCAGGTGTCGGTCACACCGCCCCAGCAGTAAAGCTTTGCCCGGAGTGATGCTCTTTCATCCCCCATCTTTTCAGCAAGGTGCCCCCAAGGTTAAATGCAGTAATATCAGAGTGAGGAGCTTTGATTTATCCACACTGCTTTCTCCCGGCGAGCAGTTCCCCTACACCTGCACGCAGCTCCTGTCCCTTCCACGCTTGCAAAATGTGTTCTTTCTTTAAGAGGAAGGAGAGCCTGAGCAAGCGAGACCCAAGGAAAGCTGTTGCGATGGTCACCTGGATGGCAAAATAAAAGCAAGGGGCGTTTGCTGCCTGCTGAGTGTGACGGATGCTGAATAAACCTCGCTACGGTGCTCCGGGGAAAGAGACGGTGTTACCGGCAAAGCGCTCCCATGGAGCGGACTTTCCATCAAGGCCAGGATTGTCCCCAAATCATCCCCGATCCACCCCCTCCGCCCGGGTCCGTGACAAACCTAAAATGCCCCCAACGTCAAAGAGGGTCGACAGGTCCCCGGCTTCCTTGGCACCGAAATGAGCTGCGAGGGAGAGGGGAGGGGTGAGGAGATGCTCCCCTTGCCAGGCTCGCTCCCGCCTCACCGTCCCCAAAAACTCACCAACGTTCACAATATAGAGGGGCAGCCAGTAGAGGAAGGTGTAGCTCACCAGCTTAGCAAAGAGCAGGCAAAGGGAGAACTCCACCACGCCCTGGGAGGAGAGGAGAAGACATCAGAGGGGCCTCCTTCCCCCAAGCCTCCTCCAGATGGTGGTTTCCCCCCCCCCCCCTGTTTTCCACGGGGGGCCCCCCGTTGATGGCGTGAGCTGCCGGGCTTTGCTCTTTCCTCCATCCCTATCGTGATGCAAGGGGCACCCCATGACTCCCTATCATGATGCAAGGGGCACCCCATGACTCACGGGTATCTGGAGCGCCCCGAGGAAGCTGATGGCTTCGGGCTCCTCAGTTGGCTCCTCGGGGCTGTTGGAGCAATCCACGCTGCTCTGGCTTGAGACGCTCAGTGGCCCCTCGTTGGAGGTGACCGCTTCGGGATCCTTCTCACTGGAGGTCACCCCTCCAGCGTCCGCCTCGTCAGATGCCATCTAAAAGCAAGCCAAAGGCAGGAGGTGTGGCTCTCGTGGCTGGAAGGAGCTGAAAGATCAGATTTGCTGCCGGGACGTGACCCGGAGGATGCTCGCACTGGAATAGCAACGAGCATCCTCTGCGATAACTGAACATCGCTCTGATTTCTGACATTATGACCTGACGCCCCGGTAGTTTCGCTGTAAGCTGAGTGACCACCGAGCCCAGGACAAGCCCGCTGGGAATCGATTTGACTCACGTGATGCAGAGGCGGACTGCAGCCGACGTCCTCGGGATCTGCGGGGAGGAAGGAGATCCCGTGAGAGCCTGGACCAGCCCCGCTCCGCCTGCTCTCCCTCCAGCATCTCACGCTGCAGGGGAGAAACACGGGGCTGGGCACCCCCCGGGGCTGGGCTGCATCTCCGGGTACCCACTTCCTAGCGGCGAAAACCCCCGGTAAAATCCCAAAGGCCTTCCCAAATGTTTTCTAGAAAGACAGGCTGAGGGGAGCGAGCAGCACAGGGGCTGAGCCTGCCTGGATGACCCCAAAGGATGCTGAACGTCCCCGTGGTGGTCGGGTCCACATCCCTGCTTGCCACAAGCTGGAAATAAGTATTTGGGGTCGCCAAAAACGCTTGGAGATGGGTAAGGACTAAAATTGTGGTCCCGCTGATCTCGGCGTTACGCCAGGCGTCTGCTGCACCCCGGGTCATGCCACTCACACTCCACGAGGAAGAAGAAGCAGATGATGCCCATGGTGATAATGATGATGCTGGGCACGATGAAGGACAGGCCCCAGGCGGAGGAAACCCAGACGCCGGCGATGAGCGACCCCAAGATGTTGCCGACGGAGGTGTGCGAGTTCCAGATGCCCATGATCAAACCTCTCCTGGCGGGGACAGAGCCGGTGTCGGCATCGCCGGGGCGGCTGCCGGGGCCAACAGGGACCAGGACCGGAGTGGGACACGCTGGAGAAACACTCACTTTCCCTTCCCGAACCAGTTCCCGATGCACGCCACGACGGAGGGCCAGCCGGTCGTCTGCACCAGCCCATTGCAGACCTGACAAGAGATAGGCAGCATCACGCGGCAGCGTCGGCACCCGGCGAGCGCCGGCTCGATCCACGGAGCGCAGACCCTGCGCTGTTTCGGGTAACCAGGCTCAAAAATAGCCACCCCCCTCCCAAGACTGTCGAGAAAACACTTGGATTTGTTTGGGGTTTTTTTTCTGCTGGGGCCGGCCACCCACCCTGCTCGGCAAGACGGCCGCGCCCAGTGGTTTCGGCACCCACGCCATGCGTGACCGTGTTTTGCAGGGAGTGGAAATGCCCAGCATTCTCCTGCTCGAAAACTGGGCCACCCCAGTCCCCGAAAGCCACCGACAAAATGGGACGAGGCTGCGGCCGTAAAATCCAGAGCCTGGGCGTCCTCCAGCGCGGACGCACCTGCACGACGATGAAGTACCAGAGGACGTGGATGTCCCAGAAGTAGCCGAGGCCGAAGAGCGCGGTGAAGAGCCCGCTCAGCACCATCCCCCCTGAAAGGTAGTAGCGCAGGGGGAGGCGCTCCCCGAAAATGCCGCTGCAGAGAGAGGGAAAAGTGCAGACAGGAGCTGTCATGGGTGATGCCGCCGACGGGTGTTATCGCACCGAGCTGGTGCCCGAATCCCGAGCGGCTCCCGGCACCCGGCTGCTTTCCCGTTAGCATGACCCCAGCCCAATGGAAACCAGTTTCCTGGCGGACTGGTGCAAACTGGTGTGCGGAGGAAAAGGGGTGCAAAGGACCGGGGTACCTGATAAACATCCCGATGGCATAGGCCACCAGGAAGGCATTATCCAGCGCCCCGAAAAGCTCCTTGTAGTTGTCCCCATCTGGAAAAGAAATATTAGGGCCACGTCAGCCTGGCCCCCATCTTGTTTTCCCGCCCCGTGGCTGCTTGGCTCATCCTCGTCCCCCGTCCCCAAAACCCTCCTCCCCGAGGTAGGGGTTCTCGGAGCGTGGCCGGGTGCCACCGGCGCTGGGACCCGGTCCCATCCTGGCCCCGAGTTCACCACCCACTGCTGCCCTTTGGCCCGGGGGCACAGGGCAGACACACGCTGCTTAATTACCTCCACGTGCCTAATGAGCAGCCAGCCTCCTGCCAAAACCTCTGGCCACGACGGGGTTTAGGGCATGGTGGGGGGGGGAGCCCATCTCGGCCGGCGCGA